ACTCAAATCTGCAGACTGGCTCTGACTTTCGCCAACTAGCGTCAATTTCTCCAGACTGTAAATCGGTGGAAAATTGGTGCAAAAATCATGTAGTGTATTCCATGTTTTAATAATTGTTCTGAATTAATAATTTCTAAAAGTTCCATAATTATTCTTTCTAGTTTTTTTTTTTTTATAATTTATGTGTACAGTTTTAGATGCATTACATTAAAATCTGTGTTCTTCTAACTGTATTTATGTACTGTAAATCACTCAGTTAATGGATCCGCAGATTACCACATCATTAGGTGTTTTACCAGAGGGGTCCTCAAGGTCTTGTGTGTTTCTAAACTAATGAAACCACAGTGTGAGCGTAAATCCTATGGAAATGTGACTAAACAGAGGCTATTAGACAGCTCTGCACTGTAAATGAAAACTGAAACTCTGTTCTTACTCTCTGTTAGCATTCTACACATCTATACTGCGAAAGGCCTGAGGGAATATGCTTTTGCTGCTGCGGAGAAACTTCGCGAACTGGGGAAGTTGGACTCTAAAGAACATAAGGGCAAGGTGAATATCACAACAATAATTCAAGATGTACCAGGGAGATTTTTATGATCGCACTCACTGACTTTCTGTTCTCTTGAAACCCAGACTGCTTTGCTGGTGGCTGTAACTGCCAGTCAGCCAGATATAGTCCAGGATCTACTCTCTCTAGGTGCGGACATCAGCATCTGTGACGTCAACGGTCAAACTGCACTTCATCTGGCTGCCACCTATGGTTTCCCTCGTGTCATGCAGGTGAGAGACCACCCATATACAAACCATTCAAAATCAAAAAAGCATGCTTCTAAACTTCTGTGTTCTAGGTTATACTCTTTGCTGGACTGCGAGTGGACCTGGAAGCTCGTAATTTTGAAGGTATAAACCTTTACATATTGTTCCATAAACATCAGGGACAGTGGCATCTGAGGAGACAATAATTTACAGCCCACCTTGCTTCTGCCTGTTTTTTTAGGCCTGACTCCTCTGCACTGTGCAGTGATCTCTCACTGTGCCACGATGAAGGCCATAAATGCCTCCTCCTCATCCTCAACATGGTTGGCTGATGGCAGTCTACAGACTCAAGCAGAAGATAAACTGATGTGTTTGCGGCTTCTTATAAATGCTGGAGCTTCAGTTCTCAGCCAGGTACTCCGTTTTATGGCTTTTTAATATTTTATATTTTCAGTACAGTTTAATCCAAATGATAATAAGGTAATGTGTTAATTAATGCTAAAGGACCCTTTGGTGGATAGACAGATGGTGCAGGGACCGCCACTAAATAATTTTTATTATGAAACTGAGTGTTGCATTAAGCCTGGCCCATAATAACATGAGTAAAGTGCCATTTTAAAGAAGCCAATAAAATAATAATTATTGATGTATAGAGATGTAAAGTTTAGGGTTTGCAATGATTTTATCTCCTATGCTCACCAAGGTTGCGTTATTTGATCAAACATACAGTAAAAACAGTGATATTGTGAAATTTTATTACAATTTAAAACAAGCTGTTTTCTATTTTAATACAAAATTTTATATTAAAATGTAATTTATTTCTATGATAGCAAAGCTGAATTTTCAGCAGTCATTACTCCAGTCTTCAGTGTCACACAAGCTTTCAGAAATCATTCTAATATGCTGATTTTGAGAAACATGAATGATTATCAATATTGAAAACAATTGTACTGCTTAATATTTTTGTGGAAACAGCTATCTTTTTTTCCCCCAAGATTATTTAAAGAACAGAAAGTTCAAAAGAACAGGATTGATTTGAAATAGAAATCTTTTGTAAGGTTATAAATATTATTGTCAATTTATTTTCACTGTTGATCAATTTGAATGCATTATTGCCAAGTCTAAGTATTCATTTATTTAATATCTTACTGACCCCAAGTAGCACACAAATCACAGATACTGACATTTCCAAATTATGTTAGACATTTCCGTCGAATAGGAAAAGATATATTTCCCAAATGTTCCTTTCAGACAGACAGATAAACAACTGATTTTGTCTTTGTTCCATACAGAGCGGTTTCGTTTTGAGACTGCCGCACAAGGAGGAAACCTCATTCATGCCACACTAACTTTGATGTTGCTTCAGTTTCACTTTGTTGGCTAATATACCTCTGTCTTTTTCAGGAAATCAAAAGCAACAAGACAGTTCTTCACCTGGCAGTGAAGGAGGGGAATATCCAACTTGTGCGCTTCCTCCTCAGCCTCCAACTCTCCAATATGCAGGCGTTCATCAACATGAAAGTGAGAGACACATGATGACGACATTATATTGACTTTCATATAAATACAAAATCATACTCAAGTAATATCACACTTGCCTCGTGCCACAGGTAATTATAGCTGTGGTGAAATTTTGACCAACAGCACTATTGTGGGTGTGAACAAGAAGTTATTGTTGAGTGACTTTACATTTTAGATACAATAGTAAAGTTTCAAATGAAGACAAAGCTAATTTAACTGCTGCATGTCTCCAGTCAATCATCACGCACTAACAACATTTTATTACTCGGTGAATAAACAAATCTGTTAATTGAATGAATCAATGGCTCCCAGCATGACTCACTTACAAGGACAGTCACCTGTTTTCATTCCTGAATAAACCTGAGTTTTTATTCACTCATAAATCTGTTTTGATTATCAACCAGTGTTTTTGAACCAATCGGTTGAGTGAATGATTCAATGAATGATTCACTTATAAAGACAAGCACTTGTTTAATTCCAGAATGAATCAGAGTGTTTTTAAGAATTGGTTGAGTGAACAGCCCGATGATTTACTCATCAATACAGTCATCTGTTACGTTTCAGAATGTATCAGTGTTTTTGAACATATTGGTTGAGTGAACAGTTCAGTGACTCCCTTATTTCGTTCCTGAATGAATCAGAGTTTTCGGAGTGAACAACCCAGTGACGTACTCATAAATAATGAATTAATTTTCAATGAATTTGTGTTTTTGAATTCAGTTGATGGAACGATTAATTGACTCAATCATAAAGATAGTCACTTGTTTCATTCTTTGTGAAAAAAGAATCTTTGTGTTTGAACGAAGTCATTCATTAAGTCACTTGGCATCACCTACTGTGTAACCTGCAGAAAGAGTCACTGAAAAATAGGCACGGCTAATATACAGACTAACAGCCTGTCTGAAACACGCAAACACAGACAAGACACATGGACGAGCGGACTGTAACTAACCGCTGTATAATGTGATGTAATCATCACTAAATTTATCCCATCCTCTAATGAACTCTAGGACATATTACTTAAAAACAGACAACAGTGTGGACATGATTTTCGACAAATGTCTGTCTCCTCTCAGGCTCACGGACACACTGCCCTGCACATGGCCGCAGGGCTGCATGGAAGCCCCTTTCAGGAGGAACTGATCCGGCTGCTGCTGAGTCGTGGTGCTGATCCCAGCATCCGCAACCTGGAGAACGACCAGCCCGCTCATTTGCTGCAAAGCGGAGACACAGGAGAGAAAGTGAGAGGCTTTTCTTTATTAACAACCAGTCTGCCTGATGTGTGAAGGACTTGTGTGTAAAGCACCATACGAAAACATTCTCTTGTACAGTTTCTACCATCTTTTTAACAGCATGGAAAGAAAGGAACAGATTACACAGTAGCTGACCCACCATTTTCCCTCGCTCACTCTCTCTCCCTCAGCTCAAGCTCATCTTGAAGAAGAAAAGTGCCTCCTCTAGGCGGCGTTTTACATCCTTACAGGACCAAGAGTGACTAGGACTGATTTTTAGTCCCAGCGTATCCCACTTTCTCCAATAGAGATGCAGTCATCTGGATCAAATAACAGTATGCGCTTGAAACATTAATCTTGATCATTTTGTTAACTGTTCACCATCAAGATGTGGACAAAAACTATTCAAAGAGCTGTTAAAAACGTTCATCTCTGGAGAAAAATGGGTTTATCATCAGTATCCTTTTATGAGGATTTTCACACATTGCATCATTTTTAGTATGACAGTATATTTTTTTAAAGATCATTCATTGGTTCTGTACCATAAAGCTGCTTCCCAGTTTATTTAAAGATGAAAACAAATTTTAGTGTGTTCATGAATAGTGATTTCAATGAAATTGTCATGAGGACTGTCAGTACCAGTCGAGTTTCCACCTTCAATTATAAACCATATTGGTTTGCTTACAAGAGCAGCTGAGCTGATTTTTTTTTAATTCACTGTATCAGTGGGGTATTCTTTAATTGTTTTGATATGTATTTATATAGCTTCTGGTTGGTAGATGTTGCATATTTTTCTCTGTGCTCATGTTCATGTTACTTTCACTCAGGGGGAAAGATCGGTTATTTATTTCATTGTTTTATATGAATGACATCAGTTCTCTATGTAATGCACTTTTCTCAGCAGCACACTTGATATCATAGCTGTCCTTACAGGAGATGTGTCATCCAGACATCATGTATGTGAATGTGTTATTTTGGTGAGTCATATATGAGGGGGTGAAATCAAATGTCAGGGGGTTCTGAGGTGAGAAGGTAGTTTTGTCATCGAGACCTGCCAGAATCAAGATGTCAGAATTATTAATATGATTTAACAATGTCATTTCAGTGGAATAGTATGAAAGGAAAGATTTTTCTATGTGGGGATAGTGTCCATCTTGTATCAAGATTTCAAATGTTGGAGGATGTTGTTGTTGTTGTTCTTGAGTCAATGATATGCATGATTCACCTGGTTGAAGTACAGAGTCCCTCTGGAAATTCAAATGAGGGAAAACACACGCTCATGTCACTTTCTAGTAAAACAAAGAGAGGTCTGTGGATTTATGAGAATTAATTTGAAAACAAAGCGCAAACTGCTTTCTGTAGAATTCATTTATGAAACTTTGCTCATTGTTTTAGTATATATCACAAACACTCAATGAAACCATCTGACTAAACCAAATTCTGTGAGTATATGAAGTAGCATTAAAATTTGCTTGATTGTATTTACAATGTTTTTTTTTAAATATTGTTCATGATGTGTCATCTTTAATAAGCAACATTTATATAATTATTCATGTATTTCTGCAAATCATTAATGTTTTATTAATGTGTTTGTGTGTTTTGCATTATGTCAACTGACCAAGCCAAATTAAATACGAATAAACCTCTGTAACTCAGAATCTTTTATTGAGCCAAATGTCTTTACATGACTAATATTTGGATGAATAATAAAAATGCCTTTTCATATAGTAACCCTTTTCAGCTCGTTATTATGACTGCTGTGAATGTTTAGTCATACTGAACTACTTCACTTTGGAGAAAAAATAATAATAATAAAAAAAACTTCTTCAGTATAATGATGACTTGTACATATAGTCGATGTGCAGTGGTTCATTATTCTCTAAAAGTTATATGGATGGTTTCTTATTTATTCATACAAGGCATAAATACATTCAGTTGCAATTAAGTCATTTGCCTTTTAGTAACACTTAGCTGGGCACTAAAGTATTACTTTCGAAAGTACTTTGTTTACTGGAATACAGTATTCAAATATTCACGCTGTTACAATGGATATAAGATCATGTGTAACTCCAAGGAAGGGTTGCACCAGCCACTCAAAACGCTTGACTTAAATTAAGATGTTAAGTTGGCTTAGTAACCACTAGTTAGTTTGTAACACTGTTTGATTGCACCATTAGTTCTTTAAGGCAAGGCTTTCCTGGTTTCTAAGCCCTCAATAATGTGCTGTTGCAATGACGTCTGACTTCACAGATCCAAGAAATGACTTTACAATTTGTAAACAGAAGATTTGAAATAGGCTATGCGTTTAAGTTTATCTTATGGTTTGTCAAAATTGTTAATGGAAATAAGTTAAACTTCCACTGAAATATGATACGCAAATAATTGTGAAACACATTCAATAGTATTTCAAATAACCTACAATTCTAAAATAAAGAAATATATACTACAAGAGAAAAGAACTAGAAAATTGTCTTACATTTTGTTGAAACCTGGCATGCACAAGTTACAGGGAGACACACTGGACTGAGTATATTTCCATGCTGGAGAGCTATTTACTCTATATTTATTCAAACAATGTTCTCTTCATTAAAATATAAATGAGTGAAAATATCAACATCATCATCTGTCTAAATGAATGAAATCTATTACATGAAACATGAGCTCTCCAGTGTAATTCATTCAGTCAGCTAGTTTCCTAATCATTATTCCTGTTTGCTTCCATAAATATTTCCATGAATGCCCTTTTAGATCTAAGCCTCCTATAATAACAACAACATTTAAAGCAAATTATTCATGCATGAGTAAAATAAGAGGTGCATCATTAATGGTGTCTATGAACACAAAAGTGATATAGTGTAGCACATGTGCTACTGAGAGACCTAAAAATACAGCAATAGATTAGCATTTAGGCTGAGGTTACAAAAAAAAGGTCCAGCAGGTTCGACTCTCCTCCACATTCCTATAAGTAACTTTGTGCTTCTGAGCATTTCCTCTCGCTGAAATGGGCCGCCCAGTCGCACCATCTGCTTTACACTGTCTGAGGTGGAACTAAAATAAAAAAGGTCAAATTTATCAAGCGTTCAATAAAAATATAACTGTATTTTTTTGTGTAATTAATGTTTGTGTTAGTGTACCTTCTGTCTTCGGTGGCTGAGGGCCTTCCACTGCTAGATCTGTAGGAAAAAAACAAAAACAGATAATTATCCTACTAAGCCAGGCTGGTCTGTCTAGACCAGGGGTGTCAAACTCAGCTTGTGGAGAGCCAAAGTCCTGTAGAGTTTGGCTCCAATTTGCTCCAACACACCTACCTTCAGTTGTAATCATGAAAACCTTGATTAACTGGTTCAGGTGTGTTTAATTAGAGTCGGAATTAAATCTGCAGGGCTGTGGCCCCCCAGGAACTGAGTTTGCCACCCCTGGTCTAAGCACTCTGAAATATTAAGCATGCATGCGTGTCCACATTAGTCAAATGTAAGTGGTGTTGCTTGATGTTATGCAAGGACCTTACGTCAACATTATCAAACGATTTAGATCATCTCAGGATGACATGCTGAGCATTTTATCAGACTACGTCTACATTAATCCGGATACATTTGAAAACAGCATTTTCATTTTGAAACGCTCTACATCCACACGCTTTCCAAAAGTTTCTCGTTCACACTGAAATGTAGGAAAAATGCTAAATCATCATACTGCGTATGCGTAATACATAATAAAAGCTCATTAAGATGATGCAAAGAGACCAGACTTAAACTTCATAAAGTTCTTCTTACTTAAAGTTCTCATGCTCTTCTTCTGGCACAATCATTTTATTAGCAAAATATCTCCCCTCTTATTGGTGCGTCCAGGTCGCACTCAATCACCGTATCTACCAGAGCAATATGTGTCACATGACTAAATATGAATTTAAATTAACTCCACTTTCCCAATCCACACTGTAACATTTTTTAAATGTATCCACTTGGAAGAGCATCTCTTCAAGGAGCTTTGTTTTCGCAGGACAAAAACGCCATCTTGGTGTGATCGGAAAGGCCAAAATCCAAAAGGTAGAGAAAAATATGCGTTTTCTAATGTAGCTGGATTAGTGTAGAGGTAGCCTCAGTCTATATGATGCCTTATTGCTAAAAAGAACATTATGTTGTGTATTTGGTGTAATGCAATGTGTTTATGCGGTTTAAGGTTAAAAAAACACATTATTTTCCATGTACTGTACATTATTGTTGCTCCTCTATGCCCAGCCTTTCTGAAACGCGTCGATTTTTACAAAGTTCATCATTCTGAAAAACGAGGTGTGCTCTGCTTTGCCAGCTATCCAGTGCGTTGTGAATGGCCGAATACCCCAAGCGTGTGACGGAAATGTTAAGCCCCTTACCATACTGTGATGCCGTGTCCCAGCGCGACGAGACAAAACCAATAAAACCCATTACAAACGATGCATTTGTTGCATCCAGTGGGGACATAATTACTGATTATAATGACTTGTACTGTCTTTTTACCCTTTGCGTTGCGTATCACGCTGCGTAAACATAAAACCATGTCTGCATTTGTGATCGGAGAAACGACAAACAACAAGCGCTACTCTACACTGCTCAAAACTCGCGTTGCTGCCCTACTTTATAGAAACTGACACCGGCATTGTAGGCTACTCTTCGAGGAAACAGTCCTCGTCCTCCGTAAAATGCACTGCACACATCTGAATATTTGGGTTGAACAGTTCTGGAACAGTGTTGTAGATACAACTTTACCACTGATTTCTAGTTGTGTCCTCTTTTGGAAGGCTAAACAAATGACGCTTTTCCACTGCATGGTACGGCACGGTACGGCTCGGTACGGTTCACTTTTTGGGGGTTTTCCACTGGGTACAGTACCTGGTACTTTTTTTAGTACCACCTCGGTTGGGGTTCCAAGTGAACCGTACCGTTACCAGAACGTGACGTGTAAACTCTGCTGATCACAGATTGGCCAGAGAGAATCGTCACTACCTGCGTCACTGAACTTGCGACACAAACACAAAAGAACCGCGAGAATCAAAGTTACGCCTTCTTTCTTTGCGTAAACATTTGGGCGGCGTTATGCAAATCTTCCCACATCGTGACGTAGACATGTGGGGGCGTGTTAGAACGAGACGTTTTAGGTAGGCGTGGTTGACTCTTAACTTTTATAAAGAATATCTCTTTGGATTTAAGACTTTAGTCTTTGCAACTTTACAGATCTTCTTTATGCACCAAGAGCTTGTAACACTCCAAAGAGAAAGGAAAAATTAAAATTGCATCATATGACCCCTTTAATCCACATGCACAGTCAAAGCTGCACATTTCACGAGTTCACACTTACTTATAATGAACCGAGTAAAGTATTTGGCGTGCTGTCCGGGGAGAGGGCTCCGAGCTCGGTAATTACTCTCGAGCCCGGGGTACTCCCCCTGGCCGGGGAGAGGGGTCCGAGCTCGGGATTAAGCCCGGACCCAGAATGCTCCCCCCGAGTGTTCCTCCCCGTGCTGGGGTAGGAACGGGCTGAAGGTGAGGAGTCGGGGTGGTGGAGGGATGCTAAGGACGGGAGATAATGGAGGTAAGGCTGCTTTGATTATTTATAGAGGTTCTCTCTTGAGCTGATTGGATAGATGGTGTAATTACTGATGATGAACTGGCCGTGTTAATTATCTGTGCGCGCTCCTCCCGAAACTTGTTAATAAAACATCACTTGTGTGAAAAGCTCTTACTTGGATTTCGAGCATTTTAACTTTTTACCTATCAGGTCAAAAAACATTTAGAGATGGTGAAATATATAATTGAGAGGGACCTAGATTGTGGTCAATTCAATTATGAGTTTAGCCAGTTTGTAAGAAATGCATTCAATCTCATTTAATTTTTTTAATTAAACAACATTTTTCACATTGCAGAAGTACTTAAACAAATGGTTTTGTGGATTGAGAGAACTGGATGTATTCCCTGCACTGACTGAAGTAAAATTGGACTGACTGCAATGCCCGGTAAATGTCACTCTTGATGACACCATTTTCTAACATCCCAGCCATTTAAAATTTTTTACACTCATTTAGCACTAAAATGTCTATGATTAAGTGACTTACTCAGAGCAATAAGAATCCCGGTTACGAACATAACCACAGCAAGGATGAAACCCGTGGTTCGCAATGTCTCGTAATCTGAGCTCAGAAATCAAGAACGGTGAAATACCTTTTTTTTATTTTGTTTTTTATTGGCTCTCTCTCTCTATATATTTCCATGCGATATTCACCTGCTTACCGTAATGAAAAGCACTCTGGTCCATATACATGTATGACTCTGTAAATACATTGAAATACATGAAACACAAGGAACCCCTATAATAGACTTAATATGGATCTTAGGAATGTGATTCACCGTGAAGACATGGTATGATCAAGGAAGACAATGAAGGGGACAGAGTTCAGCACCATGGACAGATGCTGGTTTATTAAATCTATAAATATGGAGCTATTAGCCTGCACTGGACAGTGAGAGTCTAATGAGCTCTCAAATAACGAGCTTATTAGCTGAAATGCATTCATACTGCAATCCTTTGAAATACTAATCACATAAATAGTGATCTCAATTAGCTGTTGAGCGTGTCCTATTAGGCAGAAGGCATCTTGCAAACTCAAGTGTTTTCAGCTTCGGGTTATTGATTAGCTGCATTAAGAGGCTGCGGGCTCAGCGGAAAGCCGGTGGGAGGCAAGCGCTCCGAGAACTGCAGTCTCCACTAGCAAGTGGCGAGTGGATTTCCTCTAGTAATAATCAATAAAGCTGTCTAAACTGCCAATATTGAGCTTTTAGCAGCCTACCTATGTGAAAAAAATAAAAATTTTAGAAAATATGCAACAACTTTGTGATCAGTCCCTTAAGAACAGGCTCTATTGCGCAATGATGCGGTTGTGTCTGAACTTTAAGGTTTTAACGGCTTGCTTAGCGATTTTCAGCACTCCTCTCACTCTTAAAGTGATAGTTCACTCTAAAATGGAAATTCTGACGTCGTTTATTGCCCTCATGTCGTTTCAAAGCTTTTTGACTAGCCTATGTGTTTCTTCTGAGGAACACAAAATGAGATTCTAGGCAGAATGACAGTCACTCCCATTGTATAGAAAAAAACGAGGCTGTAAGTAAACGAGACAGTCACTCTTCCTAACATTTAATTTTGTGTTTAAACAATGTCATACGGATTTGAAACAACGCCAGTTTGATCACTTTCATTTTTGGGTGAACTAGGCTATCTATTTAAACAATCTGTCCATAGCGACGGCCTCAAATATGTATTGCCCGAGTAATGACAAAGTTTTAAACGTATTAAAGCATTTGCAATATCCAAACAAATTTAGGAAATAGGTTCAATTAGACTGGAATTACTGAATATGCATAGGACAACTAAGCTAAATATATGCAACAATATTAGTAATTCCTGTCATATTACATAGTAGTATAACAGACTATTTTATTGAATGTTCTTTTGTTATACTCACGACAAAAACACCAAAAGTGTCAAGTCTAAAGTCATTCAACAGTAGAATACACATCTTAAAATGTGTTTAATTATTCCTTATGACACAACCATGCAGTTTATCTTTAAAAGCAAATAGGTAAAAGCAATAAATAGACAAACCTGTTGAAGCTGCCATTATTGCAGTGTTTTAACGAGACAGGGTTTCCTTAATCTTGCTGTACCTGTAGGCTGTCATTCAGCACCCTGAATGAAGAGAGCCCGCTGTGGAGCACTGCATCGATGCCTCACTTCGGAAGTTACTTACTTACGCCCCCTGGCGGCACAGGTCTGTCAGTGTTCCCGGATTCGGTAGGGGAAGCTCCCAGACATGGCGTTAGGTAGATAAAATTCATCTTGGCCAATGCGGTGGGGATCCAGAGCCAAACACATCCCCCCAATAAATACATGCGACAGAGAACCCCACACATGCAGCAACAGGATTGGGGTCTATTAGGCTATCAGAGCAGGTGAGCAGAGCATAGCGGGGAGCAGATCAGTGAACGAGAGGGTAGCGTCATTTTACTTTGCACCACATACAGCACAGTAGCGTTATTGCAAACAGGAACATACATTTCCTGTAGGCGCTCATTTGCGCGGACTTTGCTTTTCCGGTGAGCATGAGCGGTACGTGAGCGGAACGCACATTCATTTAGCGGAATATTGAGCTGAGCGTCACACCGCGCAGAAAATGTGGCGCATTTTCGGCGGCCGAAATTTCGGTGCATACCTAGCATTTACCTGTCCGTTTACATCCACTATATCTACTTAAATAGGCTAAGCGATTATATATGTATATATATATATATATTCCCCTAACGCAGAAATCGGAAATTAATCGGCCAAAGAACATTGCAAGGATTAGGCTACAACATTATCTTATTCATGTCACGATCACCAACTGGAGTGCCCTTGAGCTCCACCAGTGGGCACTCCATCCCTGACTTTTGCCATTCACCCTGGACTACATTCCCCATAATCCTTTGCCGGACTCATCAGCTATTGCATCACCTGTCACTCATTAGATCTCATCATCAGTTCACAGCTGTCTCACATTAGAAGGCCTTTAAAAGATGCACACACACTCGAACACTTCGCTGGTGATTGTTTAGCCTGTAATGATTCCTAGTTTCTGTTATCCTGCCCGTGTTTCTTTGCCTTGCCTTGCCTTGCCTTGCCTTAGTGTATTTTGGATCTTGGACTGTTTATCTGGTTTTTATGATTGTTTTGCTGCCTGCCCTGACCATTGCCTGTTTAGGGATTACTCTGTCTTTGCCTGGGATATTATTGTTTGCTGGTACTGGACCCTGCCTGTCTGACCACGTTTATGAATAAAGCCTGCATTTGGATCCTCAACTCCATTGTCACCACGCCTCCTTCGTTACAATTCAATATCTGCACTCAGTTTTTTTTCCTGTGAACTAGTAGCCTATCTACCTTATTTATCTACAGCAGACAGTCCACAAGCCTTTATTTTTCACCGTTTTCTAATACATCTCTTCGGTTGCTTGTTCTTCAGACGTGCGTTTTCGTGTTCTTTCCTCAGTTTTGAAGCCCTTCGATACCATTTGTCTTAGCGTTTGTCGTAATATCGCTTTGAATCGCAAGACGCGCGCACAAGACATTGGTGCCCAATGTTCTACTCCAAATTGTGATGACCACGAAAGTGCCAAGACACATAGGGGCATGTTATGAGCAATGTTAGTTCTACAAATCCGACCGCACACTGACCAATCAGAATTAAGTATTCCAGATTGGTCATTGATCATATTCCATGATATTCTACATGCACAGAGAATGTTTTTCTTTTTGTTTGTTTTTGTTTGCGGAAGCTAGATACTATGGCAACATCAGTGACGCAGCAGCAATAGCAAACTGCTTGTAGGCTACTATTACTACTAATAACAGGCTCAACTATTTATAACACAGAACGAATACGAGAGATAAACCAGGCAGGTGCCAAGCACACATTACATAACAGTTACTTTTTCTCAAAACACTTAACGGATATAAAATGAAAATCACTTTATTTTTAAACTACAGTGTATAGTTAAATTTGTTACTTGTGCAACAAGACAAAACAGTATGGACAATTTACAAAATATATAAAATGCTTGCTTTTTTCTTTTAGCTACTGAGCACTTAACACATACTACACTAGTATTTCATAAACTTCATTGTGAGACTGAAAGGTACATGACAAATAGTAGGAAAATCTCAAAGGTATCAGCTGTTTAAGATAAACATTATGGCAAAGTAGTTCTAGCTGAGAATCAATGGTTTTATTTAAACAATGTTTTCAAAACCTCACATTTTAAAAAGGAACACTCATAGTCTTGTGTATTTAAAAAGACATACAAATTTAAAAATTGTGAACACTAGAAGAACTAAATCGCCAAGTGACTTTATTCTTCCAAATGGTCAAAGTTCTGATTAAGATTTCTCCTTAAGAAGCCATGCTTTCTGTCAAAAAGGAACCAAAAACAGCAGAGATACAGTCTTAAACATTTAGGCTATAGAACATCACGACGAATCCAAAAGGAGAGGCAGTGTCACCTTTTTCTCTGTTCTCTAGGCTTGCTTTATTTTGCACCTGCAATAAAAATAAAAAAACACCATAAATGTCAGTTTCTTTTTAAGTGTCATGAATAAAAATAAAACGGAACATTCTCACCTCTGGCTGCCTCTGGGTCAAGACCCACTGGCCTATGAAGCAGGAAAAAGACAACAAGAGAGACAAAAGTGAAAAGGTGGTCATTTCCCGAAGAGCAGAAAAATAGACATTATATTGTGATCTCTAATTATTGGTCTAGTTGCACCATTGGAACAGATGCAGTCACATTATAAAAAAAATCTGTGACAAAAAGGGTCAATTGTCTGTTGTCAATAGTACAGCGTTGTATCAAGCACAGATCACACAGAAGTCATTGTCAAAGCAAGCAGATTTCTGTTGGTCAATGTGCCAAATCCGCATGACCAAATTAAACCGGTTGTGCAATCTGGATGGTGAAATCTTTCTATATAACTTAAAATTCCTGATCGCATGGATTGAAATGACTGGATTTTTCCTGCGAAAATGTGCCCGAATATTCTCATAGAACAAAATGCATTACTGTTTTCTTCGACACTTACTTTGACTTGTTCCCTTTGCAGCGGCATTTCCGACCTATTAGAAACAAGCCGGAAATATGATCAAAACCATTGGTGGTTTTATTGTAATATACAAGAAAAATGCATTCAGAAGCAAATGGTGTTTTAGAGACACACATGAAGAAATTACATGGGTACACAAAAAACAAACAACTGTCCTTCAACACCCCTGTTGTGATCATACTCAAATGGTCTGTATACTGTCAGGGTTTCTCATTAGTAATTTATGTGGATTGGTGGGAGTTCAGAGTGTCAAAGGTTAGACTGGCTGCTTTACCCTGTACTGGTGGAACGCCATAAGTCATGGTGCGGTGTTGGGTGTCGTAGAGAGGTTTAAACTTAGAGGTTATGAAAGACATGCTAGCCTGCAACCAGTCTACCCTCAGTAACTGATATTTGTTTATCTGCATGTGTGGATACATTCTTAGGTTACATCTACAAAAATATTCTAGAAATTTGATGGCAAGTACTATACAAATGTATGATAGCTCTTAGGTAGGATGCTCTCTTTCTGAGAGCAGTACACAGATAGTTTGACACTCACTGACAATGAGGAAGATCCCCATCAAGAAGAGGATCACAGCAAAGATCATACCACCGATCCTCAGAGATTCATAATCTGGAAAGAGGATTCA